CGAGCGAAGCTTCTTTGTTGTGGATGTGCAAGGTATCTTTATAATAAAAAATGTTCTCACCGAAAGTTCAATATTCTGAAGTAAATGTTTATTGTCTTTTAAACTATTACGTTTGACGGGACGTATCTTTTTTATGGTTATTCATTCTGATACTGGTATTTGCGCACTCTATAAACAATGTCTCCGTCTTACAATAATAATGTACTTCCCTGATGAATTTAATCTCCTTAACTTATCAGTTATCTACTAAAATTGCATGTTTGTTAAGTTCCTAAAAATATTCACAAAAGTTATCATAAAACTGTGAGAAACTATGAAACTGCGTTAAGTACAGATATATCAACAGCCTTTAATAGTCCACTGCTGGACATATGCCTCTTCTTAGAAAGGAGCTTGGTCAGATGGGTTGGTATAAGGCTTGTTTCAAGTTTTTCTTCTCTTTGCAGTTCTGTTGTCCTGCGTAGTTCTCTCCCAAGTTAGCTCTTACGACACACACGGGATGAATAGGGGTGATGACAATCCGTATTCTGAAACCGTAACCACACAGATATAACTTGCAGAATATTGTAGCCATACTTATACGTTTATTTCAAAACCAAACGACTTACTGACACCTAAGAGATTATGCTTATCTTCTTGTTAACCTGTTTTCGAGTAGACTAAGGATTATAATATTTGCTACTTGATCTTGCTGGGATACCACAGTAATATCCAGGTATTAGTAAAGCTTGAATCAATATGTTTATTTGTGTTATTTGTAAGCGGGTAAGTGATGTGTTTTGAAGCAGTAATATCAGGTGAATACACTTAGATACTAGCAGGCAATAGGAAACCTACAAAATGGCTTTAGATTATAATAGGCTTAAAAGTTGTATGTTATCTTCGTTGTTAGAAATTGTTCTGTCTTCAAATATAAATTTGATAATTTAATTGAAATATAAATTAACCAGGCAATCTTTCTGTATGGCGCTGATGCGGTTACTATTTCAACTTGTAGAAGACAGACCCTAGTAATAATCGGAGGGTCTGTTGGTCTAGTTGCTAGTTATTCTGACTGCCAAGTATGAAGTCGTGGGTTCGATTCCATCCATGAAAATAATTGTGTGATGAGCACGATCATTTGTTCTGTGTCTGGGTGTAATTTTAGTATAATATGAATGTATTTAGATATTTATAAGCGTCTCGGCAAACGTAGTGTAGGACGCCCACAGGCCATTTGGAGTGACAATTTGTCCAAGATAGCTGGCAGGAGCTGGATGCGAGAAGCCCAAAATGGATCTAAGTGGCGTGCAATGGGAAAGGCCTATGTCCAGCAGTGGAGCGCGATAGGCTGATGATGAAGCATGGTTATCAACAGTCTGGTTACCATCGTCAAGGCTCTGCGTAGTTTGTGTGTGTGTGATGATAAATGACATTTATTTCCGCAAGTAAATCTTTTCAGATATTTTTACAAGTCGGAAATGTGTGTGTAATGGGGATGTGGATTGAGGTTAAGTAAATAAAATACACACACAAAAATCAAATACAAGTTTCTTTACAAAGTTTATTACAATTCAGTAAAATATAGTGATAAGTTCTAAACATATTATAAAAATATATTTTATATAAGTACAGGAATAATTAATAAAGAAATTTTAATTAATCAATACATTTAATTATATCAAAAATATCATCATCATCATCATCAACAGCCTTTAATAGTCCACTGCTGGACATAGGCCTCTCCTTGGGAAGGAGGTTTTGGCCTACTATACCACGCTGGCCAGACGGGTTGGTATAGGGTTTGTGTCAAGTTTTCCTTCTCTTTACAGTTTTGTTGTCCTGCATAATTTGCTCCCTTAGTCGGCTCTTACGACATCCACGGGATGAATGGGGGTGGTGACAATCGGTATTCTTATTCCGTCACCACACGGACAAAAGATTGAACACTAATCATGGTACAATAGTAATAATTTCGTTTTTTAACTATAAGTCTGTGTAACGATTTTATTGCTGACTAACAAATTAAGTACTAAACGATTTTCGATTCATTAATCATGACGTGTTACAGAAAAGTCATATTTTGTCAACAGTTTAGAAAACTTATAAATAGTGTTTTATATTTCATATTAATTTGTTGGGTAATAATGGTAGTTAACATATAAGGTTTAAATTCTTATCTGTTGTGGAGGAACGGGTGTCATGTCCCTCCAACACAAAGTTAGGATCGAGGATCGAACACAAAGGCGAGGTGATCATGCCTGGCGGGTCGCGGACCAAAGGTTGATGTTGGGAAGTTGTATATATGCCAATCAGCGAAAGTATTTTTTGTATGTGGGAGTCACCGCAGTGTTACAAAATATTTAGTTTATTAATAAATATCCTCGAATTCAATTTTGGCACTTAGTTATGTTGTCTATGGCCGACGTTTCTCACTTACTATAAGGTGACCCGAGTGAACGAGTAGACACTCATTTGTGATTCTCCTGAACATTTTTTTAAAGATTTTAGTACTCTATGTAATTTTCCCAAATGACTAAAATATGACCTTCCAGTAACACCTGTATTTGTTTAAGACCGTTTATTACGCATTGTGTATTTATCTCACACGCTTTATACAAATTATAAGTGAAATTAAAAATAAATGGTTGATAACAATAATAGCAAATTTTTTTTACATTTTTTTTTTAATGTGTAAAGAAATCTTTTTCAAACGAAACTCAAATGAGTTAACGCTCATATAAGAAACGAAGTTAGATTAAAATTAATATTGAATCAGATTCCATTATCACATTTAATATTCAGACTGTACTGGCACAAGCCAAGTGCTCTACAAACTAAGTAAGCGATATTTGTAGGGTTACCATAACAAGAAGAGAAATTGGGACAGTATAAATTATCCAGGTACAATATATCTCAAATTATTTAAGCCCTGAATATTATAAATATGTATTTAAAACCTACAACCGCTGTACCAATTTTTACGTTCCATTATGTAAAATTATTTATTCGAGAATTGTTAAGCCACTAAGCCACTGAGCCAGTTAGCTTGACAGCACGACCAGGTCTAACGTCAGGCAGTTCAAAGCATGCAATATCTATTGTTCAATGTTGATGATTTCTTCTTATTAATTTTAATACTCCTAAAAATGCTACCGACTAACCTTTTTGTTGTAATTACTGTAGTTTTTTTTTTACCCTGGTATTCGCACATTTCATTAACAGTGTATTTGTCTCCCAAAATATAGTATTTAATTTTATTTTACCTTCTGAGTTTTTCTAGCATAACATTGCAGTTATCTATTTCAAAAAAACATCGCGTAAGACAATTTTGTAAAGTCTATACAAATATAACTTTAGTCCTGTAAAATTCTTGATATGGTAGCCCTACTTAAACTAACGTTTCAATTTTATGGCACTAACAAACTAATTTGTATGTTAATTTAATAATTAAGTTGGTATATTAAGTCGGTAATAATAACTTGATAAGATTTCATTGGGTCAGAGACTTTACAACACTTAGTAATGTTGAAGTACTCACTACCCTTATCAATTTCATGACCATAGGTGCTGAATATGATGCGCAGGGATAAGCAAGATGTGGTGAAGAGAGTTATATGTATGTACTCGTAACTTGATGGATACACAACAAAGAAACGATGGGAAGACATTGTAACTAGAATATATAACTAGAAAGGGTGTTTAATGTGAACTGACGAGTGATTTAGGAGAGTGGAAAACGAAAACACTCCTGTTCCAAATGAATTTGAGAAAAGGACGGGATGATCATGATGTGGTCAGAATAGGCAGAAGGCTTTCAATATTTTAATATTACCAAGAAATTTAAATATTTCGTGTCGTCACGCGTTAGGATTGATATCCATCTCGTGGCTACGGATATGTATATTTTATATAATCAACAGCCTTTAATAGTCCACTGCTGGACATAGGCCTCTTCTTAGAAAGGAGAATTTGTGTCAAATTTTCCTTCTCTCTGCAGTGCTGTTGTCTTGCGTAGTTTACTTTTTTAGTCGACTCTTACGACACCCACGGGATGAATAGGGGTGATGACACTCCGTATTCTTAATCCGTCACCACACGGACCATTCATTAAATGTTGTAGTATGTGTATATGTATTCTATGTATCCATTATGAGTATACTCGTAGTTATAACCGCCATTTTAATCAAATAAGTGACCATAATATAATAAGTTTCACACGGATTTTTATATTATCTTCAAAATCTATTGATGATTTTCACTGACTTGATGTTTTCGATGTTTTATAAAATACTCTCAATAGTAATAAATTTTCTTCGTTTTTGAAACATTCTTCATTGGTGCTGCGTCTTAGCGTGATGATATATAGCCTATAGCCTTCCTCGATAAATGGGCTATCTAACACTGAAAGAATTTTTCAAATCGGACCAGTAGTTTCTGAGATTAGCGCGTTCAAACCAACAAACAAACAAACAAACTCTTCAGCTTTATAATATTAGTATAGATTAATTCTTTTACTAGAGCGTTTTATATCAAATAGTTTATAAATGAGGTAAGAGAATGAATCATTTCTTTGTTTTGAATATCGGCCCATGTGAAGAATTTCAAAATATTGTAGAAATTCTCTTGCCAGTTATAATAAACTAACTCTTACATAACATTTTAAAATAAAATTATATGAAATGGCTTTTGTATATCGTCTGGGTACTGAGAATTTTATTAACTTTAAACGTAATGAAACTCGATGTAATTTAAACGTATACAACAATATTTGTGCATTTTTCTTGTTTAACATTAATTTAAAAATATATTTTTTACATCTTAGTTGCAAAAGTCTGCTTCAAATGCCTTTAGGATTTCATTGCTTCAAATACCTACTGCTCAGATGTCTTATATTAGAAATGCGTGTATTTCAATGTATTTTTTCATCACTTTACAATTATATATATATTACAAAATATAGAATACACGTAATTAATAACTGTGTCTGTCTATATTTCAGATCCTTGGTCTTTTTCCGTTTAGCTTCCACCAACTTTCTCTAATGTTGGTTCTTTTAATGGCGTCATCTCAATGATTTTCGGTGTCAATGGTGGTATCGCAGAAACTAATAATGGGTTATGGTATTCGACTTTCTTTGAGCCTGCACCCACACGGAACACACCACGCTTGGCTGCCACAATCAGCAGTAACACCATCGATAGAGTGAAGGACAGGATCTGTGAACAAGTTTTGTGTATTGTTAATAACTTAATATGTCTAAAGGTTCAGGCAGACGGTGAAGATCTTCGGTCTTCTATTAACTAGTAGTACATTACATTCTGCTCACATGAAGTCTTGCGCGTCCTGCTGTTAATACCTAAAGTAGAAACAAGGCTTCAGTAATATATGGACTGCACGGGTGGTCGCCAGCCGCTTACTACTACGCCGAGTGTTGTGGGTCCAATCCCCACATATGACGACACTTTGTGTGATCCACAAATTGTTGTTCTGAGTCTTGGTGTTCTTTGTGTCCATTTCATGTATGTTTGTAAAGTCCCTCGCGACACAGGATTTATTCCTAGTGCGGGAGTCTTTTTAAAAGAGAAAAAAATTATTAGTGAAAAAACGTGAAGGCTGACGCGAATATTTAATTTGATATAAAATACAAAGAGAGGTCAAGAATTAGTCGAAAACTGTAATAAACGTCGGTCTACGTTATAATGAATATTAAAAACGTGGCAATAATTTAAGTCGCATATTATTATTAGACAGAACTAATTACTAGAAGTAAATTATAGATATATATATAACTAAATTATGCTAGCGTTTTGGCTCACGTAAAATATATTTTACCAACCTTAAGAAATTGTACTCTTTTGGGTGAAATCTTATATATCTTATCTCTCTTTATCTTTTGCAAAATATCTTGATATTCGGATGAACGCCACAGCAGTCCATAAAATGCGGACAAATATGCATTGATTATACATATCATTGTACGTTTTCATGGCATACAAGAGCAAACTACCAGAAAAATACCATCACTCACTTAAAAATTACCATAGTAGTTTAACTCTGCACATCCTTAAATCTGATTGATAAACTTACTTACCAGATAGCTAATTTTATAAAGAGTTAACTAGGCTTCTGTTACGAAATAACTAGTCATATAGCGGCTGTGTAGGTATTTAATATTTTATTGTTTTATATTTACTAATCGAGTAATCATTTCTACAATTTACTAATTAATAAATAATTAATTATTAAAAAATCATCAACTTAGTTGTAAGTTCAACAATTTAAATCAGTTATATTTTCTACTTAATTATTTATTTAAAATATTAAGGTTACATTATTATTTAAGTAGTTTTGAACATTAAATTGTAATTAATCAATTATAAACACTTTGTTTGACAAAATTTATAAATAGGGTAGAAAGGTTTCGGGCACGCCGTCATCGCGGCGGTAAGACCCGTTATGGAGGATTGGCTCGAGAGGCGTCACGGGACCCTCTCATACCGATTGACGCAGGTGATCACTGGGAAGGGTTGTTTCGGGGATCAACGCCTGAGTGCCACCACTGCGATGGCCAGACCGTGGACACGGCTCTCCACGCTGGCAGAGTGCCCGGCGTGGGTTGAGCAGAGGCGAGACCTCGTGGCGGCCATCGGAGTGGGAGTTCTCTCGTTCGATAGCCTGATTGCGGCTATCGTGCGGAGCGAGAGTGCGTGGAACTCTGCCGTCTCCTTCTGCGAGCAAGTTATGCTCGCGAAGGAGACGGCGGAGCGGGACCGGGAGAGGTTTAGGACTCTCCCGGCCCGCCAAGCCCGGGAGCGGGCCAGGTACCGCAGGCGACTCAGGCGCCGGAGGTCGCCTGTGAAACCATGAAAAAGTGAAAAAAAAAAATTAGATCCGCCCAAAAAATCTGCATAGAGGAGCGAAACTAAGCTAGTAAAAAAATATAGACTGGAGTGTGTGAGTACAGTAAGTATGTAGGTATGTATGTAATTTACATTGAATAGATTTGGAGGGCGCGCATAATTTATTAATCACGTCCACACATCCTAATTTAGTATGGGTGAGTATACTTTACAGACTTAATAGTGATCATGTGTATGTATATGTGTTTGTTTGTCGTCGAATGTGTGTATACGACTGATAATAGCAGGATAATATTACTGCGTCTGTTTTTGTACTCGGTGTACAAACAAGAATAAAGTGATAAAGTATAATATAATAAAATTTGAGCAAATATTCATTATTATTGTGATTTCGTATTTTGGAATCTTCAAAAATTGTATCTAAGTAACTACATCTTAGGCTTTTGATCAACCATGACTCTTTCATGGGAATGTCTCTTTTTTATGGTGTAGAAGGCAACAAAGCAGACAGATCTGATGGTAAGTGAAAACCCCCGTGAAAACCCATGGACGCCTGCATCACAGGAAACATAAGTGCGTTTCCGTCCTGAGAGTGCGCTTTCTCCTCCCGCCTCCCTGTGGCGAGTATGCGCTAGGAGGGGTCCGGATGTCTTAATAACAGTAGTGCCCAGATAGTTTTAGTCGGTCCGATTCCAACAACGAGTTCTCAAGTGGGGTGACGTCTTTGGGGTCACGTGAAAAAACATGTCAGATGAGCTGACACATATATGCGGAATCATGGCTGTCCCATGGTATTTTTGATTCAATCGAACTTGAATTTGATTCGATCTTTTATAAGATCAACATTTTACAAAACGATTTACGATTTCCTAAACTTGCTTAGACATACCAATGCACATGTGGAGGTCATGTCCCTCCTACTCAAGGGGAGGACTCCTACCGGGCGAGGTGACCATGCCTGGCGGGCTGCGGTCCAAAGGTTGATTTTGGGATGTTGTATATATGATAATCGGCGAGAGAATTATTCATATCGCGATACAGGATTAGCAATTCTCATTCAGTAGTTACTCCGTAGTTCAGTGTTTCTTCGTTAGATAGCGCTGTAGACACATCAGTTTTTGAGTATATTACATTTTTTGTTCGTGAGGATAGTCTACAACACCAATCGAGTAACACTAAGGTAAAAGACGAATACCGTCTCTTGGGTAACCAAGTGGTGATACCACTAGTTCACGGGTCTCTCACCTTATCCAGCCCTTCTACGAAACTCTACTCTATGCGACTCCCATTAGAATCAAAATCAGGTTCAACTAAAGTTTGCTGTAAGATGCAAGTATTTTCCTTATCCGATTGTCCTTACTGGAGTAGAAGTTTCTTGTGTCTTACTAGTTATTTATCATATTAAAGAAGACAAAATACTTTACAAATTATTGTTTTATGCGTATTCTATATTAAGACTTGTTATTGTACAACAATATTTTTGAAAATGGTTATCATAAATACGTGTTATTTAATGTGCTTGGTTTTATATTAATTAACCTCATTGGTACTCTATAGTTTTGAATGAATAATAATTAGCCAACGGTCATTAGTTCTTTTACTAATTAGAAGTTATAATTGATATAAGTACAATTTAAATTAATCTGAATCCCTTCATGTAGTAAACTACTTTGTATGTAAAAAGTAAGTGACTACCGCCACCCATGGACAGCTGCAACTCAAGATTCACAAGTGCGTGGCCGCCCCTTCAGTCCCTACCCCTTGAATTATGGGGAGAGGGAGATTTTAGGCTCGCTACTAATGAACTGCTCTGTGACACTGTGGTATAATTACGTCGTCAAGCACACATGAGCGTACATGATTGATTTTGAATTCGACCCGTGTTTTATAAATAACATTTTAGAGGCGATCCAGGCGACTGGCCATATCCTTTAGTCTGTTGGTAATAGGGTCTATCATCAGTCTTTAATAGCCCACTGTTGGACATAGGCCTCTCCTTAGAAACAAGGTTTTGGCGTAGTATACTACGTGCGCCAGACGGGTTGGTTTAGAGTTTGTGTCAAGTTTTCCTTCTCTTTGCAGTGCTGTTATCCTGCATTAACTCCCTTAGTCGGCTCTTACGACACCCACGGGATGAATAGGGGTGGTGATACTCCGTATTCTAAATCCGTCACTTTACGGACATAGATCTAGGGTCTAGTGACAAGTTTTTTTTATAAAAACTTATTTTTTCAGTTTCAAAGAAGTATGTACTTCATTTCCCTTTTTTTCTTTTACACTATTTATGGTGAAAACAAGCACACTGTCAGTTGAGGCCCCCCACTTCTCTAGATTTTTCTCTTTATCAGTATTCTGTTATCACTGACGTTGATGGCTACAGCAAACACCAACTATCTTAAAGAGATATACCTATTAGTCTATGGCTTTTAACGCACTGTTACTGATACAAAATAAGCCGGCCTCACGCTTATTTCCTACATCACTTATACCAGAAGGGAAGCGATCAAAACATACGTTTGTGCTTATGTAGCGGTACTGGGGCCATTTACGAGTACGTGGTTCATTTGCGTACCTACCGCCTTCGTTCCATATCTGTGAGACGACCGAAAAGAATACGCAATTTAGATTTTATTCGCTATCACAAGTTTAGTGATTTTTAAAACAAACGAGATTGGGAAAACAATTATCTAAGAATACATTTAAAAAAACCGTTTTTATAATTTAACTATTTTTTTTTAAATATTTTTTTATTTTTGTTTTATTAGGCATTTATTCTTTAACTAGCTGACCCTGCAAACGTTGTTTTGCTATTTACATATTTTTTTTTTCAATTTCTTAAAATCCGTTCTTAGCTGACCTCTACTCGGTGAAAAGAATATTCCTACCAAATTTCAAGTCTTTAGCTCTAATGGTTCCAGAGATATCGTAATGAGTGACTATATACGAGGAAATCTCTCTTATATATATATATATATATATATATACTCGTAGATAAATATATACAATATGTATTAAACAATGAGCACAATTAAAATTAAATGAATGTTTAAGTTTTATACTTTACTCAAATATTTCACTTTACTTTATTAAAGTTAACAGTACTAATTAATAGTTATTACTAAATATAAATTGTTGTTTTAGTCTTTTATCTGACCATAATTTCTTTGTTAACGTAGTTCAAATTTCTGACCTACATGTATGTATGTATGTACACTTATGGATAATGCTGTGCTCACCTTTAATTTATAAGCATACACATAATTATATTGTATGAATATTTTCTTGTGAAATATCTAGTATGCATTTTAGTTGGTAAGCCTTATGTTAAATAAATAAGTAATGTAAATCTACAAACTCTTAAATATTGTATGTAATAAGTATAGACACCTAAATTCGAACTATTGTCTTTGACTACAAAGATTTATAGAACAAGTTATTAATATTCACAAATAAGGGTCCTTTGTAACCACAACCTCTGAACGAGCAAGTTAATTATGGTATCGTCACTTCCATCCATTTTACTTAATGAAATTCATAACTGCAGCCCTCAAGTAAGTAGGTAGATAAAGCTGTCTATTTAAGTTAAACAACGTAATTCACTCGTTTTAGTTTAACCGAGGTATAGGAAATTGAAAGCTGTCTTCAAATACATAACCTATAACACCACAGCACTACCTTAGCACTTGAACCTTATGACAAAGAACATTTAGGTACAAGAAACTTATAACTAAATATAATAATAAACATTTTACTTACAGCAGATATCCCAAAAGTAGCAAACACTTCATATGACATAATCATTTTGTAAGATTTTATTCAAAACACAACGAAACTTAATAAAAAATGTAAACAATTATCACACATGGACTCTACGCGTTAACTGACGAACAATACCTGGTTGGTTCTACAAACTCACAATGCCAATTTATTTACGCACTGTGTTAAACTACGTAATGTATTGTTTGAGGAATTTAATACAATGTGACTCTGTGATATGTAGCTGGAAAATAACGCTGTCTATCAACACTAACTGCTCAAAGTATGACACTCAATCGATTTGTGCACACGTGTGTTAAAATTTAAAATAAAGAATTCGACACAGTGTGTTTCTGTGACGTTCAGTTGGAAAATGGCACGTGGCCGCTGCAGTTGCTGTGACAGTTGCACATAGCGGCAACGTCGCGTGCACACGTCACACGGAACAGGTTGTGTGCGCACGCGCCTCACCGTGTCCTTTTTTATCTGTCATACAGTTATTATGGCGACTGATGTTGTTTATTTTTCGTTATGGCTTAATCGTTGTAGCTAGTTACATTTTTTAGACATTATAAAAGACTAAAATTTCTTAAATTGTACTTAATTTTGAGAAAATGACAGAAAGTTGTTAAAAAACACATTTTAAAACACGTAAGTTATTACTGGTATTCGTATGTCAGTATTGTCTCTCTTTTGGTGCTGGCTGTGGTCATCCGGTACTCGTACATGTAACACAATTTACTCAATGAATTGTAATAATGGATTACTATACTACTACTTACATATTACTGAAACGATTAGTTTTTAAAAGCCTGTACAAGGTGAGTTCTTATAACAAATGAAACATCTGCAATTTTTCGACAAATATTGATCAACGACATCTACCAAACAAAGACTATGTATATGTTTGACAACGTTATCATTGGCTTAAAGCGTGACGGAAAATATCAAGAGAAAACTTCTATACCTAAAGATTGTTCTCGAATGTGGAATTTAATGTATGACAATCCAACCAGTTATGTCCTCCTTTTTACATACGTATCTGGTGATGATTAGGTACATAGACAATAGAGACTACCTCTTGCAATATTAATTTGATCACTAATAGAAAGTTCAATCACAGTAAATTTATTAAAAATAATATGATAAATAATATAAATTTGGTGCATCAAAACATTAGAGGAATGATGGGAAAAGACTTGGAGGTGGAACTGTTCATGAACTGCAATGCAATTGATATTTTTTGTATTACTGAACACTGGCTAAAAGGGGATCAGTTTATGTTCAATTTTGACCACCACCAGGTAGGCAGCTCGTTCAGCAGAAGTACAGCAATACATGGTGGCACTATGATACTCATTAATAAGAAACTTAAATTTAAAGAGCGCCATGACATTGTTAGTTTATCAGTTGAGCGAACTACAGAAATAGCCTGTTTAGAACTAAAAGGTTTCATAGTAGTATGTGTATACAGACCTCCTTCAGCTATGTATGATTGTTTTGAACGTGTTATGGATGAAGTATTAGTTAAAGTAACAAGATCAAAAAAGAAGGTCATCATCTGTGGTGACTTCAATATTAACCTATTGGAAAATTCAAGTATAGTAACCAAGTTCAAGGCACTTTTTCAATCATACAATCTGAAGAACTTGTTCTTGGAGCCTACACGAATCACTGCCACCACTGCCACATGTTTGGACAATATATTTACAGATATTGTTATTAAGGACAAGAAAATAATCAATCAATTACAATCTGACCACTGTGGTCAATTAGTATCTTTCTGTGATAGGTATGAAAAAGTGTCAGAAAAAAGAATTGTGGTGATACCTAAAACCGCAAAGCGTTGTGAAAACTTTAAGGATAAACTTAAAGCTGCTTTTAATAATTCAGTACTCTGTGTAGAGAATAACCCTAATACTTATTATAATAGTTTTTTTGAAACTTTCTCTTCAACATTTAACACCATTTTTACACCAAAAACGCTAGTGGTTAAAGGTAACGCCACATTTAGTGAATGGGCTACCCCTGGCTTACTCAAAAGTAGGAAAAGATTATACGAGCTATACGATGAGAGGAATTATAATAAAAGTGAACAGTTTCATAATTATGTTAAAGAATATTCGAAGCTGTTTAGGAAACTTTGTAAACTGGCTAAGTCTCGTTTTATTAGTTCAAAGATTAAAAGTAGTAATGATAAGATTAAAACCACTTGGAAAATTATTAATAGTGAAACTGGAAAAGATCCAAACCGTAATAATGAATTTAATTTAAACATAAACAATAAATTTATCACATCAAATGCTGAGGTTGCTGCTGCATTTGAGAATTTTTTTACTAACATTCCTGTATCAACTACTAAATCTTTGAACTCCTCACCATACCTTGCAGAATCAATTTTAAAAGAGAATGTTAGAAGAATTGATAGTGAATTTAAGTTCCAATATGTGTCCCCCTTTGAAATTATTAAAGCCTTTAACACTATTAATGTTAAAAAAACAACCGACCTATGGGGAAATTCTGTTTTAATTACTAAGACAATTATATCTCTTGTGGCTAATCAATTGTCATTTACATTTAATCAATGTGTTGATAGTGGTGTATTTCCTGATCTTATGAAGTCTAGTAAAATTATTCCCTTATTCAAATCTGGTAGTACATCTGACCCAACTAACTATAGACCTATCTCAGTACTACCAGTATTTAGTAAAATTTTTGAAAAAATTATGTATGATCAATTGCACAGTTTTTTTAATAATAATAATTTATTGCACAATAGACAATTTGGTTTTACAAGGGGTCGCTCCACAACTGATGCTAGTGTTGAGCTAGTAAAACATATATTTGATGCCTGGGAGGATGCCCACGATTCTCTAGGTATCTTTTGCGATTTATCTAAGGCTTTTGATTGTGTTGTTCATGAAACGCTGATCAGGAAATTACAGCACTATGGTATCAAAAATAAAGCCCTGGAACTACTTGCCTCATATCTATGTAATAGGATTCAAAAAGTTGATATTAATGGTGAGCGGTCTCCAGGCTCTGTGATAGAAATGGGCGTTCCACAGGGTTCTATTCTCGGCCCTTTTTTGTTTTTAGTATATATTAACGACTTACCTCACTTTGTCAAGGACAATCTCGAGATTGTGTTGTTTGCAGATGATACATCACTATTATTTAGACTAAAACGGACACTTTCTGATTTCACATTTGTAAACAGCGCCATTTCGAAAGTGGTTCATTGGTTTGATGTCAACAATTTACTATTAAATGAACAAAAAACTAAGTGTATACGTTTCACTATGCCAAACGTCAAGCCAGTGAAAACTACTGTGATAATTAAGGATGTCGGGCTGGACCTTGTGGACACTACGACATTTTTAGGTATAACACTAGATGCTAAGCTACAGTGGGGCCCACATATTGATAAATTGTCGAGTAGACTCAGCTCAGCAGCATACGCAGTAAGGAAAATCCGAGAGTTGACTGATGTTGATACAGCACGACTTGTTTACTTCAGTTACTTTCATAGCATAATGTCGTACGGTATTCTGCTGTGGGGGAATGCTGCCGACATTCAAACTATTTTTGTGCTGCAAAAGAGAGCTATTCGAGCACTTTATAATTTAGGCAATCGTTGTTCATTGAGGCAGAAATTTAAAGAAATAAATATAATGACAGTGGCAAGTCAATATATTTATGAAAATGTAATATATGTTCACAAAAATAAAGATAGCTTTTTGAAAAAAAGTGATGTACATGCCATAAATACCAGATATAAAAATAAATTTGTTGTACCCGCCTCTAGGCTCCAAAAGATAAACAAGTCTTTTCGAGGTCAATGTGTCCGATTTTATAATAAAATCCCAAATAATATTCAGGAGTTGAGTATTAACAAATTTAAATCCGCAATAAAACGTGGCTTGTGCCAGAGGGCCTACTACTCGATTGTGGATTACATGGAGGACAAGAATGCTTGGGATTAATTAGCGCAGGCTATTTCTTTCTTAAGTAAAAATGTGGTGTGGCTAGTATGTTTTTTATTATTTTTTCTATTTTTTATGTTTCACTTCATTTTCTCTTGTATTCGTTTGTTCTTCTTAATCTTGTTTTCTCTTCGTTGTTTTTTCACCTTTAAGTCCTTAATAACGGACATACTAGCACACATCAAAACAATGTTGTGATATATTTAATAGTGCCATTGTATCTACTTGTGAATTGCAAAAGAGTGGCCATGAGTTTGTTTGCCCTTTCTTCTCATAAGGCTCAACCCCTTGGAAACGGGCGGTTGTAGATCGGCACAGGCATATCATAGATTTTGTATGGGTTTGATTTTGTTAAATTTATTTGGTTACTATTTGACAAAACAGAGATTGTTGCTTTTGTGTGTGTTGATCTATGACTTTAGAGTCTACATGGAAGACGATTTCAAACAATTTTGAAAATTTTATGAAATAAAGAAAGTTTGAGTTTGAGTTTGAGTTTACATGATTATTGGACGAGGTACTACATTGTCCCTAAATTGCGAAGCTATCGTTTTTAAGCCTACTTTTTACTTTTAATTCCATAACCAATGTTGTATGTCTAGGCCATGTATTTGTATAAAAGTTATTCTTTGTCATTTTCTATAAACTATTTAATTAGTTGAGTAATAATACCAGTGCTTATGTAATGGTAATCAGATGGCTTATAAACATACTAAATATTTATAAATCATCATCATCAACAGCCTTTAATAGTCCACTGCTGGACATAGAAAGGAGGTTTTGGCCTACTATATCACGCTGGCCAGACTGGTTGCTATATGGTTAGTTTCAAGTTTCCCTTCTCTTTGCAGTGCTGTTCGTTCGTGCTTAGTTCGCTCCCTTAGTCGGCTCTTAGGATACCCACCGGATGAATAGGGGTGGTCACACTCCGTATTCTTAATCCGTTTCCAGACGGATCAACGGATATTTCTAAATACTTTCGCATAAATATTTACACCCAGACATCGAGCTAATCACACAAGTTCATCATCCATCATCAACAGCCTTTAATAGTCCACTGCTGGACATAAGCCTCTCCTCTGAAAGGAGGTTTTTGGCCTACTATACCACGCCGGCCAGACGGGTTTTTTTCCCTTAGTCGGCTCTTACGACACCCACGGGATGAATAGAGGTGGTGACACTCTGTATTCTTAATCCGTCACCACACGGACAATCTATAATATGTATATATTTAAAAAAATTAAATGATAAATAATCGTGCTCATCACACAATTATTAGTTGTGAGTGGGAATCGAATCCTTCACCTCTGGCTTAGCAGTCAGGGTCACTAACTACTAAACCAACAAGCCCGTCTATGCCACTCCATCGTGCATTAGAATGAATTCTTAGTAAATTAACTGACAATCTGCAGATATTTTGTAAAATAAAATAAAGATTGACTGCCTCGGTGGTGCAGTGGTGTCGTATGCGACTTCTGTACTATGATCTCGGGTTCGATTCCCAGGTCGGACCAAATGTTTGTTTGATCTGATCAAATGGTGTTTTCTATGTCTAATATGTATGTATTTACAAAAAAAAGTATATAAGTATTCTACCACTCAGTCTAGCTTTCATAGTACATACTCTGCTTAGTTTGAAACTAGATGGCGTTGTGTGTCAGAAGTCCGAAATATTTATTATAATTGTCACAGTAATCTTTTAACTCAAAGTAGGAACTCTCCATTATCAGGCAAACCTGTCTGCTGAAAGGAATCAAATAAACTGCAACTGACAGGCGTAGTAAATACAAATTGTCAGATAATAACATAACTAATTTGTCATATAATATTAGACTAAAACCAGTTTCTGAACGGCAGACCGAAATGCTCAACTAACAGAGGTGTCAATTCAGTTTGAATTTCTGGAACACCGATCAAAGAAACATTAACTAATTTGTGATCAGTTTCATTGAACATTTGATTGGTACTTGACACAAAAAACTTAAATAAAACTTAACACCTTGTTAACTGATCCGATGATCAAAGCAAAGTTTTTAATCAGTCTTTCGGTAGCTAGACATACGATTGGTTATTTTTTATGTTCAGCTTTTCAGAAAATGATAAGAAGATATCCTAAAATTTAGATACTTTTTGACGATACCAGCCGTCGCCGCGGGCCGCCAGAGAGTGGGGGCCTCTGGTGGCGGATTGATTGCTGCGGTAGGGGATAGATTGGCAGCCTTATTGCATTAAGATGCAATAAGATGGAGCAGGGGATCCAAAGGGATTTTCCACACCGTCAACAAAAAAAAAGGTACTTTTTGTACAAGGTACAAATTACATTTTGTAACCAAAAAAGGTATTCAGAATTTACAATGGAAGATACCGAGATTATATTAATGCCAGTCTTTTGTTCTCCAAACGAGATATTTAAAAGAGTTTATTTGCGAATTTAGAATTTAAATGGTCGCTTTAGAAAAAAAATATAAGGGGACTTCAGAACATCAAAAATAGATTAGTAACCGTTTAAGCTCCACGACCAATAATGGGCTATTTACATAAAATATTATTCTTAAAGATAAATTTGACAACTAGACCACCTACTTGGTGATTATATTTTCCGAAAGTTAATAACGCTAGTTTTAATACAACCATTTGTTCCACAGATTCGTTGTTATTTTTATTTATGATAAATGAACACTGCCACTGTGTCACTGTCAAATCGATTAATGTTTAGTCTTTATAAAGACATTATGACGTCACAAGTTCCTTTTAGGAGACGTGGTGTTATTTATGTACCTACACATTTAATAGTAGGGAAGCCCATGATGCTACATGGGAATTTACTCGAGCGTCATGGGGACCTATTGCATTTGAAGGATTAGGTAATAAAATGAATTAAAGTTATATAATGCTTCAGCTTCCAGCGGTGGGAAAAGCTTCTACAGGTTTTCAAAAATGGAAGGGGAGGAAATCGAAAAAAATATGTTCGGAAGCATCACATATTTTGGGAATATGTTATTTGGTCGCCAAAAATGCGCCATTTGAAAGGTCTGACGATTTTAAAGTGACACAAGCTCGTTGCGAATTATCGAAAATGCAAACTCATCATCATCATCATCATAATCTAGGGCTCATCAATCATCATCGACAACAACCTATAACAGTCCACCGCTGGACATAGGCCTCTCCTTAGAAAGGAGGTTTTGGCCTACTATACCACGTTGGCCAGACGGGTTGATATACGGTTTGTTTCAAGTTTTCCTTCTCTTTGCAGTGCTGTTGTCCTGTGTAGTTAGCTCCCTTAGTCGGCTCTTACTACACTCACGGGATGAAGAGGGGTTGGTGACACTCTGTATTCTTAATCCGTCACCACACGGACTTGTTCTCGGCTCCCCTATTATAATATGACAGCATTCTGATTTTGCGGTGTTATTTGCTAACATTATTTATTAAGGCGCTTACTCGTTAAAATATACCATAAGGGTTTATTGCTATACTTTTTCTTCAACCACGATTATCACATTTGAATAATTAATATTACTTAAAAACAATTAATTATTAAGTTATTCATTCTGTTTTTTTTTAAACTTAATAGGTAAGTAATAACATTTTTCAACGTTCTCGTTCTGTGTAAAATGATAATAATAATAAACTTTTCATTACAGACCATGGTGTCCAATTTGTTAGTAACAATATTCTTAGAGACTAGTGTTAGTACAGTACATAAACAAAACAAACCATAAAACAAAACAAAACAAAGAAAGATAGACATATACACATTACACACACAACAATCATTGCTGCGCCATTCCGCACGCAACCAGGATTGATGTAACCACATTCCAGCCGACCAGAGATCATGTTCAGGATACTGTTGACGCTGCCGCGTACCCTGCGCACCAGATATGTGCATCTTATATAAATAACTAGCTAAGCAATTGATCAACACTTCACGTGACTAGAAGGCCGACATTTTTCTAACATAGAGAATTAGCGTTGCCATTATTTCGATCTTCTTATGATAAAGGAGTTGTATTTGCTATTTGAGTTCCGTGGATAATGTGTTGCAACCAAACGTGAAATCTAGCAAAACTCTTGGACTTTTAAGGGTTTCGCACCATACAATGGAAAAAATAAGGCCTCTTTTCTCAAAAATGTGTGAAGGTATTCAGTTTAAATCAAATATTTATGTCTGCGGTAGATAAATAATTTAATAACCTAAATATGGAAATAAAATCATGATAAATTTCAACAAGTTGTATTCTCCATGCCCTCACAGCTACTTACAATATTTTTTCCCCATTCAAATGTGACCGATCTTGAATGAAACTAATAAATTAAATAAAAAATGATTGTAATCAGTTAACAAAAGGGAATCCAGAAACCTCTCCTTTTTTGGAAGTCAGTTGACTGCACGGATGGCGTAGTAGTTTAAGCGGCCACCTCGTTTCATTCTACTCCGCTGAGTGGTGTGGGTTCGGTCCCCACATGGGACAACACGTATGTGGTCTACATTTTACTCGTAATTCTGAGTCTGGGTGTGCTTTGTGTCCGTTTCATGTACGTTTGTAAAACCCCCGCGACACAGGATATGTTATTAGTTCGGAAGTGGCCTTTTAAAAAAAGGCATTATAATATTTTCCATAGTTTAAAGTATAATGACTGACTTACTGTAGTAAAAAAATACATACATTATTTTTATTTTATTATAATTATTCATTTTATTATCAGATTAATAACAAAATTTCATGCATTTGCATTGATTCTCGCCCAATAATAAGCCCTGGAGAGTCTAGCAGATACGGCAATACCCAGCCAGGTCTCCGTGTTGATCTGATCGATGTAATCTTCGGGAACTAGAAACCCATAACCGTATCCTGGCAGCTCAAGGGTGTATGAGAACGGGACACCAACCAGCTGTAAAATAGATACAAAACCTGTCGTTACTACACTTGTGTCAAATTATTCTGTTTAAGCATAACTATATTTAAAAATAGCTGGTATTTATTTATTTGTATGAAAAATAATCGATTTTGATTTGACCGAAATAAAAAGTAAACTTAAATTCAACTATCCATCTCTTGTCTTCATCATAAAATTATCTTCACAAAACCCAATCTGTTGGCTCGACTGATTTTGTATAGACTTTCCGTACCAAAAAAATTTAAAATATTCACCTACCTCCCTACCGACCTCTATGACTTTATGTAGTAAATTTTATTCAAATGTTCATTTTATAGCAAGTGTTTAAATAATTTATACTTTGTATAGAACACATATAAATGTCACACATTCAACTTCGTATTCAAAATATATTTATTTATTTATTTATATGAAGGAAAACCAACAGCTTTAACATTGAGATAGTGACGATAATATAAAACATTTAGCCAATTAAAGGTCTTCACAGATAAGCACTATTTTACATAATTTCGTGAGGCCAATGTATGTATCACATTAATTACAAATATGCTATCACTCAATTACAAGAAAGGGAGAAAGAAATCTTGGCTTAGCACCCGACGTACTGTAGTTGTTTTAGTGTTGAAAATATCAATGTCATGTGACTCGCAGATGTTATTTAAGGTCTTGCTAGCTCGCCAAAGAAACGTATTCCGTCGATAATTTGATGATGCATTGGTAAGGTGAATAGGTGCGTGATGTCTCATATTCCTTACCGGTGCCTCAAACCCAATTTGCCCAAGAAGTTCGGGGCCATCAACTTCATTATTTATTATTTTATATTTTACTTATTTTATTTATTATTTTATTTTACATTTCTATAACTAGTTTTCACCTTCACCTTCAAATTTCACCTTCTTCCTCTCACTGAGCGGCGGGCTATAGCAGACGTTGTCTATTTACTTAGACAACGTCGACAACGTATATATATATATATATATATATATATATATATATATATATATATATATATATATATATATATATATATATATATATATATAAATAGTATTTATATGTATTATATACACTATAAAGAATGTTTACCTGACCATAATCTTGTGCGCTTCCAGAAGACCCATACAACAGCATAGCACTATTACCAACTCTGTAAAAACCAGCCTGAGGAAGCTTGACAGCGTCTATCGCTGCTCCCGTTGCTGCGGCGACCTGGTGAATTTGAGCTGCGTTAGGAGGCAGCGTTTGGTCACCGTACGCGAAGAGGAGCCAGTTTCCGTGACTGCAAATAACATACATAAAGTTATCGGAGATCTTTTTTACATATCACTGCCACTGCCTCGATGGTGCAGTGGTAGCGTATGAGGCTTTTGGCTGAAGTCTTGGGTTCAATTCGAAATGTTTTTTATGATCTGCAAATATTTTTTTTGGAGTTTCGGTGTTTTCTATGTATAATATGTATGTATTTACAAAAAAAAAAAGTATATAAGTTTTCTATTAGTCAATCTAGTTTTAATAGTACAAGCTTAGTTTAAAACTAGATGGCGTTGTGTGTCAGATAGAAGTATTAGATAGTTGGGCCTCTGGTAACCTCACACTTACAAAGCAACTAAAGAATAATAATAATAATAATAATTTATTTGCCAAAATATTTTTGATTCAAGGTAAACATGTTTCTAGGTGTCATAACCATCACACTATTTTATTGAACTCTGGTACCCAAGGTAAGATTAAACTTGTAGTATGGGTAACCAGGGCTCTCGCATAAACATATACAAAACAAGCAAAACACTATCTTAGTGAACTTGTTGTTACAATTTTAGTGCATTTTAAATTAAAATATTTCACAATCACATAAAAGGTTGGAATGTGTGCGCGCTCACGAGTGTTGTGTGTGTGTATGTGCGAGTGTGTGTGTGTGTGCGTGTGCGTGTATGTTTGTCTGTGTGTGAGTGTCTTAAATTGAGTCTGTATGGGTGTATGGTTTTACAGCGTTGAAAATCGAAGTAGGTTCTCTGTATCGTCGTAAGATTTGTTCATTGATAAACACCGATGTCCAAGTAAGTAATACGAGTATATATCACTCGGGCCTATATCAAAGTAACCTTGACCTTGGGTTGCAATGTCATTTAACATCAGCAGGATGCCCATATCATCTTTAATTTAAACAGTGTACTCGTATTCTGAATTAATAATAATAATATTTTCTGACATCTGATACACAATGCCATCTAGTTTAAAACTAAACAGAGCTAGTACTATGAAAGCTAGACTGACTGATAGAATACTTATATACTTTTTACTTTTTTACTCATTACTTTTTTTGTAAATACCTACATACATATATATTCCTTTCTAAGGAGAGGCCTATGTCCAGCAGTGGACTATTAAAGGCTGTTGATGTGTGATGTGACATACATATTATACATAGAAAATAGTCAAACTCTGACATAAATATTTTCAGATCATACAATCATTTGGTTTGACCCGGGAATCTAATCCGAGACTTCAACAGAACAGCCGCATATGCTGCCGCTGCACAACCGAGGCAAATTTTATTGAATAATAATAGTTTATTTTATATGTTTCGGGAGAATTTTTAATTTTGAGTTTCTTTGTACCTTATTGATTGAATAAGTTAAGTTACCTGTGTATATTCATGTATATTTGAATCCTGTCCAAATGCTCAAACAAAATATCTCTAACGTATCTGGTCTCCACTTCAGAGAAAGGCTCCCATCCTGGATAAGTCATCGCACAAGGGTTCGAAGAAACCCCAACAGTGTTGAACGCAACATCAAAATTTCTGTTCGCGTCAACTCCTATGCAGGTATCGGTGGTTGGGTTGATGGATCTTGTTTTGCGCCACAGACGTTCCTGCAGAAGTGAAGCAGTTACAAGATTCTTAAGTCTTCCCTTGGCTTTTAAAGTAAGTAGGTCAAATAATAGGTATATCGAGGTAGTTACAAGTAATACCTTAGGCCTACTTGACGATATTTATACATCATCTATGGTCATCTATAGTATGTATAGTCATCTTTTTTTTTTTTAAAAAGGCAACTCCCGCATTAGGAATAAATCCTGTGTCGCGGGGGACTTTACAAACATACATGAAACGGACACAAAGAACACCCAGACTCAGAACAACAATTTGTGGATCACACAAAGTGTCGTCCCATGTGGGGTTTGAACACACAACACTCGGCGTAGTAGGAACCGGCGTGGCGACCGCTTAAACCACGCTATTCGTGCAGTCAGTATTGTTACACTTCTATTGAAAACTTCAGGATAGCTCAGTTGCGATTGAAGGCAAAGTTTTTACATATTTACGGTAGTATCTGTCTTTATAATAATACTTACATGCGTGTGTGTATATTCGTAACCGTCAGGGTTAACAAGAGGCAGGATGATCCAGTCGATATCAGTAAGCAGATCATTGTCCTCAGTTCTCAGGTTTTCCACCAGTCTGTAGATGGAGTATAACGTCACTGGTGTGGTGACCCATTCACGAGCGTGCATTGACGCATCCATGAAATAAATGGGCTTGCTGGTATCCATGAAATTTGTGGTCGAGATCTGGGTATGAAAATAAAATGTAATTTTTCATTTTATTTTATAACTAGTTTCTGCGCGCTGCTCCGCCCGCATGTATTTCGGTTATCGCGGTAAAAAGTAGCCAAAATCTTTATACCTAATATCATCTAAATCCGTTCAGCGGTTATTGATTCCCCATACAAACTTCTACCCCCCTTTTCACCCCCCTTAAAGGACGATTTCTGAGATTAAAAGTATCCTATGTCCTTTCCCGAAACTCTAATCATCTCTATACCAAATTTCATCTGAATCGGTACAGCGGTTTAAGCGTGAAGAGGTAACAGATAGATAGACAGACAGACACACACTTTCGCATTTACTTATAATGTTAGTATGGATACTACCATAATATTTCTTTATATTTCACAAAATTGTTGTGAAAGTTGCTCTTTTAAAATAAACCAGGAATAACAGGCTTTTCTATATTTATAAGGAATAGGGAAAGTAAATTTTGGCAGCCTGTACGTCTGTGACCACGGCCAGTGCAACCTGATCTAAATTTCAGACATGTGTAATAAAATAAGTATCAATCTCCAACTAATAAAACAAAGCTTAAGATTTTTTTTGTTTGAACGCGCTAATCTCAGAAACTACTGGTTCGATTTTAAAAATTATGATAGCACATTTATCGAGGAAGGCCTTGAAATTACGCCTTAACAAATAGGAGCACATCAATGTAAAATGCTAAACGCAGACGAAGTTATAAATACCTAGTAAAAATAAATATATATTCTACATTATGATAGTTTAAATGTTAGCTTAATATTATTTTAACGGGAATTAACGCGATCTCTTATTTAGGGTATTACATACCTCTGGTTTGGTGGTCACAGGCTGACTCCGAGTCAGCCTGTGACCACGGCCGGCGCAACCAGGTCGAAACGTCAGGCAAACCACGTTAATTCCCGTTAAAATAATATTAATTATCATAGTTAGTAAATGTTAGCTTACAGTAATAAGCTCTTCTTTAGTATGATATAAAACGATAAAGAGTCAAAAATACTCTACCTTTAGATACTTGATATCGCGCCCTTCAAAACTCTTTCCAACGTTAACTAACGTCACTATGTCTGGGTATTGAGCAGCTATAGACTCCAGGTATTCGTCAATCTATATGAACATACAATTAATACACCTGTTATATTGTTATTCAAAAAAACTTGCGACAACAAGTTGTTCAAAGGATATGTAAAAGTTGTAATCGTGGTTATTTTAATTTTATTTTTACAAGCGATACAAACGAGCAGCGGACCCCCTGATGGTAAGTGACTACCGGCGCCCATGGACATCTACAACTCAAGACTCGAGTACGTTGTCGCCCTTTCCCAGAATCAGAGGGACTGAAGGGGGTTCAGAGGGTTTGAGCTCCGGCAACCTCACTCACTTGAACGAAACACCCATTTTCTGTGAGGCACTAAGCGTTGTAACTCTCCAGTTGAGCCTGTCCCCTGTGCCGAAGTAACCACGCTGTCTCACGTGTGTACGTTTCATGATATCGTTACTTAAGTTACGTTGAGATTCATACGTCTTACAATATACGTGGTTGTAAAGCAGGTGTAGCCTTAGTTTGGATTAGAAAAATAACTTAATCGCATAGTAAGCGTCATTGAAAACTTAATTCGATGTTGGACACCAAACCTTTATAATGATAAAACTGTACATACCTCTGCATAACGCGGGTACTTTTGAAAGATCAATTCCTGGTCGCTTTGTCTGCTCGATTTGAGTAGTCGTTTTTCTTCCTCTTCAAGAGCTCTGCAAAAGAATTAAAGTTACTCTGATTTCTGTTTAGTTTCATCATTTCGTGGGAGAAAAATCCTGATTACAAAACTTCCATAATTACTGACGGACTTCCTTGTTCTAGTTGAGAAACTTAATTATTACGTTGTATAAGTATTTGTTTTGATAAACAAATCATTCTTTTGTTTACAATTTATAAAATACAGTTTCTAAAAAAAAAACGAATATTAAATGAGTATTTCATCATCAGTCTTTACTAGTCCACTGCTGGACATAGGCCTCTCCTTAGAAAGGAGGTTTTGGCCTACTACACCACGCTGGCCAGACGGGATGGTATAGGGTTTGTGTCAAGTTTTCCTTGTCTCTGCAGTTTTGCATTTGCTCCCATAGTCTCCTTTTACGACACCCGCGGGATGAATAGGGGACACTCTGTATTCTTAATCCGTCACCACACGGACCTTTTAACTGGAGTATTTAATGCAAAAAAATAATTAATATACCTACATAACAACAAAAATTTACAGTAATTATTATGTAATACATATTTAAATGTGTATTACACTACAACTACTTATGTAGGCACGGAATTTATATTTTTAATGTTCTCATAATATGAGAAAAAGCATACAATTGACCTGGAAACAAAATAATAAAAGCAGAAATCGTGGTATGTTGTAAATAGATGTATTATATATTATGTATGTATGTACTCACTTGGTGACATTAGCCATTTTCACGTAATGCTCAACTCCTTTATCGTCCATGGCTGCTAAAAATGTCTCCCTGTTTGCAGGTGTGAGCATCACCAAAGCGTCTCGTACTTCGGGCTCGCCATATTGCCAGATGTCCACATCTAGTGTTGATATTAAGTCGCCAAGTAACTGGTGTTCTGATCTATCCCGAAGTTTGATCCCGTGGACGGAATTTCTGTCAGATAATAATAGGAAATAATAACATTTTATATAATTTAGCACTAAGAACTGTAATATATAGAGAAATAGATTTAGAGATAAAAAGATTTATTACTTATTTGTTGCAAAGAAGTTCCTTACCGCGCGTAACATGCTCTGAGTGACAAGACTTTTGCCGACACTTCAGTTGGCGCATCTTACATCTTTTTCATAATTCATATATATAGCAAACATCTACCAAAAAGCGAAACTAACGCTATTCACGGAATATAATTACTGTGCCTTATTAAAGGTTGCAGAAAGAAAACAGGAGTGTCAGCGACTGGGTGCATATACGAGAGGGGAATGCTGTATTACAGGCCCTTGCTTAGTTTCAGGTTTTAATATTAATCCGTATAAGGGTATATCTGAAGTGCCGTGTTAGGACCCTTGTTTTAGTCGATACGAGTATGTTATAACTGAGCCATTAAAGACGATCGGTGGGTCGTCTTTAAAGGTATAGTTATAACTTGCCTAGGAGTGTTCATCGACTCAACCCTTAATTGGCGTGCTCAGGCTACTCATGTGAGTCAGAAGGTAATCGGAAACCTGCGAACGAAACTCCTAAAACGAAAATCTCTCTCAGGCAGTCCCTAATTACCCTATAATTGATTATGGCGATGTGTGTTACTTCGATCTGAATGCAAAACTCCTTAACAAGTTAAACCGTCTTCTCAATAACTGCATTCGATAAATATTCAATCTTCGAAAGTGTGACCACGTCTCTGCTTTTCGTTCGCAATTGCAATGGTTGCCCGTTCGCCTGCGCCGTTATCAGTGAGCGCTGACCTCTCTCTTTTCATTCCTCAACTCCCCATTCTCACCCACTTACTTTGATCCCTATCTGCGTTTCCTGTCCACTAATCAGTACAGAAATCTTCGCTCAACAAATAATTTGCTTCGCCTGTGTCTTTTCCCCAATTCCGAATTCGTGAACTCTTCGTTCTTTATGCAAGCAGTACTGCTCTGGAATGCGCTCCCACTTGAGATCAGGATGTCCACAAATCGTTTCACATTAAAAAATTATGTATATAACTACCTTCTTTAGTTGACGGAATTACCTACTCAATGGTAAACCTCCCTAAAAGTGCCTATTTACAGTGTACGAATATAAAGTATATGTATTTATGTGTATTTATATCTATATACATAATATATATAGATATAAATGTGTGTATGTATGTATGTGTGTAAAAGTATATGTTAGTTATAACTACTATAACAACTGCAACCTCAGTGCACCTACCTGACCAGATTTTTACACCACCCAAAGGTTGGCTGGTAAAGAATGTCCTGGGCATTAAGTCCGCCGATGTAAACAAGTGCATGAAGTTGTAAATAAATAAATATAAGCATTTCTTCATTCCATATCTAAAAAGATATGATTCAAAAAGTTTGCAAAATATTTCAGGCCTTGTGCGGATTAAAGATTTGATAGCAGAAATGCTATCTGGTGCAAACCATGAGTAAGACGATAAATATCAGCCGTGTGCACCATCAATGAACGAGGTGTAGCGTGACGTGCACGCCATCGGGACGTGGTTGAATTCTTAGCTAAGAAAGGATAGTTCTCAGCTAAATTTCAATTAGCTTTTCGTTCTATAAAGATATTATAAAATCTATACGTTTGTAAATACATTGTAATAGTGTATATATACAAACAAATTTAGATATATATTATAAACAGTTTTAATACTTACCGAACCAAAAGAAAGTTTCAAAATGTATTTTATTATTTTTATCCGTCTTAAATAATTGGTTAAGATGCGCCTGTATCATGCGTAAACCTGTAGGCGTAGTTTAAGTTTGACCATGAACGAATAATATTTGTTACTTTAAAAAAAGTTCAATAAAGTTGTTTAACCGATAGTAGATAGATAGTAGATAGTAGGCCAAAAGCTACTTTCTAAGGAGAGCCCCATGTCCAGCAGTGGACTATTAAAGGCTGTTGATGATGGAACCGATAAACGGCGCACATTGGTGGCATAAGTTAACCTAAGTTAATGAGAAATTGTCTGCACGCCCGCATGTTTACAAATAGTTGGTGATGAATAAAAGTGCTGATAAAAGGACATCAGAAACTAAGAAATTCTCTGAAAATATTAGTGCACAATCAACAGCCAAAAAGATGGTTACGTGCTCACAAACTTTATTATTATTTTTGAACTCTCTCTTATATTTTACTAGTCACTTACTTAATAACATAAATTATGGTCTCAGGTGCTATAATTTATTTAGTCCCATTGAAGAAATTCACATTGCTAGAAAGAGCATAAATAATTGCAAACATCATCTATGAATCCTTCAACAGATTAGTATTTGTATTCTGACGCAGTTCTGTCAAATTATATGCCCCAGTAAGATTAAATTTCATTTTGTAAATAATATTTTTGGATATTATGTACGCCATTATATACGTAAATTATATTTACATAAACTAGGTAGTGCGATTATTCCTAATAGTGAATTCGAATTCGTTAGATTAGATTAATGGTGGTGAAGAACCAAGTCTGATCGATCGATCCGATCCGATCCGTTCCGATCGCGATCGGAACTGAAATTTCTAATGTTAATATTGAAATGTTAATGAATACCTGGCATATATATCATGTTTTCCAGCCGCTACCAGCCCCAGTAGAGCCGTGAAAAGAAAAATTAACTGGCTCTTCATAGCTGCCTGCTCCCAGATCGTCACGCACTGTCAACTGAATTAATATTTATTAGTTATACTTTATTAACTTTATCTATTTACCTATCTTTATTGTTTTATTGTTATTAACTGGTTAGATATTAGTATAGCCATTTTTGATTAGACTGCTGATTACCTAATTCCAAAGTGACTATCGTTGCTTTTTAAAGGAAGTTATTTTATTTACTTATAAAAAGATCTTTAAATGAGTTTCTTGGCAATTGTAGTTCAATGTATATTTTTAAGTCTAATGATTTTGATATACATTACAATGATAAAGAACCAGAGATTATGACAATTTAACGTATACAATTAATTTTTCAGTTAGTTCAGAATAGTTCGAAAATTCAATTTTAATAGTTAAATCTGAATGTGGTGTGTTTTGCATAACTTTACGTACTTTGTAAGAATTTTTTTTAGAAATTTCTAATCAACAAATCGGTGTTTCCGGACCTTCAAACCCTCAAGAAAAGAGCCTACTCCTTCCTCAAAGGCCAGTAACGCGCTTGTGACTCCGGATTGCACGCGTTCATGGCCGGCGGTAGTCCCTTTCCATCAGGTGACCCATCCGCTTTGTTTGCTACCTTTTCTATAAAATAACTGCCTTAGCAGGTCTATTGCTTACTTCAACAAATGGATGTAAAAACTTATGTCAGTCTTGCCGTTTATTTTTGACTGGATTCCAAATAGTTTAATAATTAGTCAGTACACTAGGTACTACCAGGTTGAGGAGTTATTTATTTTAATCATACCAGCAGGAAATCGAATAAATAATTAGGAATTTCTCGAATAGTCTTTTACGGTTTGACTCATTGTTGATGAGCAGGGAAGAGTTGGTTGAATTTGTCAAATGAGAAAAATAACTACTTTCGAATCTATCAGTTTCATAATTACAATTGATTTAAAAAGTCATACATAATTGCTGGTAATTCTTACTGATATTTTAAATTTGAAAATCAGCTTTATTTAATAATAATAATAATAACCTCACACATCTTACACACGGCTGTCTGATCCCAAACTAGGCAGAGCCTGTACTATGGTGACCAGACTGCTGATATACATACATATATATTTCTAAATACATACATATTATAGATAAATTACACCCAGACACAGAAAAAACGATCTTGTTCATCACTCAAATATTTTGTCCTGGGTGGGAATCGAACCCACGACCTCCGGCTTAACAGTCAGGGTCACTAACCACTAGACCAATAGGTCCGGCATATTTATAATTATACTTTTTGGCTTCAGTGTTTTAACCAAATAATTTATGATAGGTAATTTATTTTCAGAAAGACTGTAGTTTCCGAGTGATAGAAACTCCACTTTTACGAGTTAAGTAAGCCAGCAAACGATGGTATTAAATAAAACCAACAAATGCAAACAGGCTTGCAGAAATACCTACATATTTGTATAACATTTTGATAAGGTTGACTGTTACAGTGATAAAGATGTCATCTTAAAATTCTTTTATTCCTCTTTAATAATATATATTCTTAAAAGGTAAGAAACTAAACCTTCTTTCTAAGGAGAGGCTGTTGATGTGTGATGTGATGTGAAAAGGTAAGATAGAGATACCTTTATCTCACCTCTATCAACTGTTTCTAAAACAGTTTTGTAGGGTAAAACCTATTGTCCATTAAAACTATATAGAACAGCAGAAGTATTGTCTATTGTGGCAGAAATAGTTCAAGTAATCTGTGAACACAGAGAGAGAAGGTCCTGGATATTAATATCATGACAAGTTTTCAGTTCTTCAATGGTATCCACGTTTTTAGGATTAATTAAAAAACGCCATGGGTCTGTCAATTTCTCTTAACGCAGCTAAATTCTTGACAAAGGTTTAATAGCTTTTAAATCTTTGCAAATACACCGAACAGGTTCTTAGTAGCTGCGTAACTTTTACAGCAGGTACGCACTTTGTGACCACTTTATGGCCTTAGACGTGTTTACGTCAAAAATTCACTACCCCAATTCATCCCGTGGGTGTCGTAAGAGCCGACTGAGGGCGCAAAATAACGCAGGACACCAGCACCTCAAAAAGAAGGATAACTTGACACAAACTCTATACCAACCCGTCTGGCCAGGGTGGTATAGTAGGCCAAAACCTCCTTTTAAGGCGAGATCTATGTCCAGCAGTGGACTATTAAAAGCTGTTGATGAAAACTAGCGAGTCATGGTGTTAGTATAGGGATACGCTAGATAAGCTAAAGTGTAATAATTTTTCGTGTTTTAGGAGAAGGCTCATGTGAAAACCGTTACTTTCGACATAATACGCTATGCTACATGATATATAAGTTTTAACATTAGTATCACAGACAAAACTTGAATTTTAAATGTTTGTATCTAAAACTGTTCCTGGTAGGATTAAAATTCATCAGGTTCCATTTAAAATAAGTTGACCAGTTCGACCGCAGTCGTGTTTCACAGAAAACCGTTGTTAAGAGATTCTTTAATTACTTTGCACCTAGTGTGTGAGACTATTGGAAGTCCAACCCATCCTCCTAATTCTTACCGAAGGTAGAGGACACTTTTTTTTGTTCTTTTTTTTCTTTTGAAAGACAACTCCCGCATTAGGAGTATATCCTGTGTCGCGGGGGACTTTACAAACATATATGAAACAGACACAAAGAACACCCAGATTCAGAACTACATTTTGTGGATGACACAAAGTGTTGTCCCATGTCGGGTTTGAACCCACAACACTCGGCCTTTTAGGAAGCTGCGTGGCGACCGCTTAAACCACTACGCCATCCATTCAGCAAGGGTTGCATGTGTTGTCGCACTAACCACTAGAAAATTCGTCTACTTGTTTGTATAACATAAAAAGTAGACTGATTTTTATTGAGAAAAAATATATATTTACAAAAAGCAAACAATAAAAAATTATTGATTAATTGTTCAGATTGAGTTTGGCTCGATAATATATGCGGGCGAGTCTCGCGGTGGCAGCAATGCCAAGCCATGACTCCATGTTGGTTTGTTCGATTAACTCCTCGGGGACAATAAAACCGCCACCGAAGTTGGGCAGCTCCAACGTGTACGGGAACGGGATGCCGATTATCTGTAATCATAAAATAAACACCAACTTTTTTACTTTTCCTTTCATGACATTTATTTATTAATCAAGTAGAGCAATTCACAAAATAATAGCACATAGTGTCTCATGTGTATGACGCGTGGTATGTAACAGTGGCCTATTACCGTGAAGTAGATAAAGAAAAAAAGGTGACAGTGTAAATCTATGCAAGCTTCCCGTTTCGTTCGAGATAATTACAATACGTTAACTGAATGAAATTTTGATGATTATTTTGACAATTTAGAAAATATTAAATATCACGATGAACGTATGAGAAAAATGTTGAATGCTAAATCGTTTTTTGTCTCTGGCAAAGATCTTTTTTAGGCTTTATGGTAAGTGCACGCTTAGGTGACCACAACAATTGACCATAGGATAGGCTACTGTGGCTAAATAAATATGTATCTCTAATTATGCCACATTCTAATACATTTGTGTGAAAACAATGTAGGCACGAATAAAATTTTGATGATTTTACTTCGCATTGTTAAGTTCTATGTTTTTAATGGAAACTTCTTTATAATAATTATTATTATATCTTGTTTTAATACGTTAAATTAGTAATATTACATTAGATAGTCAATAGGGCATAAAAAATGTGTAGCTTTGTGATGCGCTCAGATTCAGGTTTCAAACAAGTCTTCACCTTTCTTTATCTTTATAAGACACTCGTTCGTTCTCAACTCGAGTGTGTATAAATGTGACCGTAATCATTTGAGACGCAATTATTAGATAAACATAACTTATTAGACTTGGAAAGTAGGCGGCTCCTTGGAAAGTAATGTTTTCTATGTCATTTTTGCTGTTTCGATTGTTTTTTTATTACTATTACATTCCAATTAGATCATGTAATTGATCTTGTCTTTCTCATGGGTTATTCAACCCCACTGTGTTGCACTACTGCTACTACTACTACTACTTACTGATCTCGAATATATCGTTTTGTTAATACCTATAATAAATATTTTAATGACATTGATATTTTCCAACTATCAGTGGAGAAATATAAGAAAGGTGTAGTTAATAAATTAGGCAAAATAAAATAAGGATAAGCTTATGTCGGTATGTGTTGACTTTGCAGGTTTGATAGGTTTGTATTTAAAGCACCTGTATTGTTTATTTTTTAATATTATTTTAGTATTCTGAACACAACTACTTACGTTATCTGGTATAAAAGTTATTTCAGGACGCAATTTAAAATCATCATTATTTATCTGTGTACAAACTGGTATGTTTCTTGTTCATGTCATTGTTTTGTTCATATTTAAAAACAAGTTCAAACTATTTACGTTTTATATGGGGGATTTGAGGTTCTCAACATAAGCAAGTCTCACACACATCAACAGCTCTCCTTAAACAGTTTATTCAGCCAAAAATAGTAAAACTAACTTAAAATTACAACTGATGCCAGAAAAAGCATAAAGAAAATCGAACAAGATTGGGACATCCACTGATCAAGTTATGTTAGAGCTGTTTATAATAAATTCGCGTTAATGGATTATAAGGCGAATTTATTGAGTTTGATCACTCACTGTTTATTGAGTGGGATCACTCAAATGAAAATATCATACTTTTAAGATTACAAATATGTCAGCTAATAAAACAATTCGCTTTTCACTGTAGGTTTGGTGGTATTCGAGTACAGATGTCATTTAAATATCAGGTATCCCACAGGAACAGTCCTTTTTTGTCCTCATCTGTAGGTAGGCGCGACAGCTTGTACCCATATTTTCAGGACGATTGCGTAAAATGAAGCTAACCGAGATTTGCACTTATAATGTCAGAATATTTACCTGACCGTAATCCGTAGAATCACCAGATGTTGGGTACAGCAGCTGACCAGCATTTGCCACACGGTAGTAAATAGCTTGCGGCAATTTAACAGTATCAATAGCAGCTCCCATTGCACAACCGACTTGATGGAGTTGAGGTGCTGTTGGTGGCAAAGTTCCATCACCATTGGGAAATAATATATAGCTTCCAAAACTGAAATATTCAAACTATATGTTATATTCACGCTCGCTTATGTTAATATCGATTTTTCCATTCGTTTTATTTCCTCAGTAAAAAGTAGCGTTATCGCATCATCATCATCATATCAACAGCCGTTACTGGTCCGCTGCTGGACTTAGGCCTCTCCTGAAAAAGGTGGTTTTGGCCTACTATAGCCGGGTTGGTATAGGGTTTGTGTCAAGATTTCCTTCTCTTTGCACTGCTGTTGTCCTGCGTAGTTTGCTCTCTTAGTCGGCTCTTACGATACCCACGGAATGAATAGGGGTTGTGACACTCCGTATTCTTAATCCCTCACCACACGGACATGGAAAAGTAGCGTTAGCTTTAATCTATGCTAAATTGTATTCAGATCAGTTCCACAATTCAACCGTAATTGAGTAAAAAATCCATCCTGACAAAATTTCGTATTTAAATTATTCTTCTTTAGAAGAATTCTCAGAAGTATTAGTGAGATAGATGAAGTCAGTCGTGAAGCTAGTAGCTTTTTTTATATCAATGGAAAAGAACAAGCAGGAAATTCAAAGAAAGCTCTTTTTATAAGATTCTGGTTTCATTGTAAAATCGGTTAACGGTTACAATTTTCTATTCGGTTTATTAGTAATTTATGTTAATCTGCCAATATTTTAATACAATTTCCGAAAGAAATACAAATTCTATAAGGTCATTTTATTTCATCATCTATTTACGAGGTAATGAATGCGTTAAGGACTAAAGTAATAAATCATTACGACGTTACCTGTGTATGTCCATAAATATCTCCATCCGGTCGAGATATTCAAGCATGATGTCCCTAACTATACGGGTCTCTACCTCGGAAAAGGCCACCCATCCAGGATAGACGTCCGAACAAGGGTTTTGTGATACACCAACGGTGTTAAAGTTGGCATCGAAATTTCTATTCCCGTCAACGCCAATGCAATCGGATGTTGGGTTGATAGATCTTGTTTTACGCCAGAGACGTTGCTTGAAAGAAAGGAAACTATTAATTTATTAATTGAAAGAAATTCAGTTATTTAGCTCTCTATTGCCTAATTTTTTTGTAAAGTACAGATAATACTTGTTTTGAGTCGATTTGAATATTGATTTATTTGTTTATGGCACACTATTTTAAATAAAATTCAATAAGATCAATAATAGAATCATTAAAAAACCGCAACACACAAAAAATAACCTTAACACTCATTAAGACTGTTCTAATAATAAACATGGTAAATATGCTGTAAATTTCTGAGTAGTTGGCTATACACAATAGACAACAACAGTTTACCAAATTTTAGATCATTCGGACCTGTCTTCATCACCTGATAATCTTCAATATTTGTAGCTAAGAACCATCTCAATCACATCGGTTTTCATACAAAAAATCCGCATCGAAACTGACCTATTAGAACACCTGTATAAGAGCTAAAACACACTTTTAATATAAGAGGGAGTGTGTGAATGTATCAGAATTCTGTACAAATACACAGAAGATAAAAAGACCAGCAAAAGGAAAGCCATTTGAGCTTAGACTGATAATCTGAAATATGACCATATTGACAGCGAAAGTTGTTCAGTTGATATTTGGTGATATATAAAAAACTGAAATCACTTTATTCAAGAATATAGAGAACAACAGATTTTGATTAAAGTTTCTTGGAAAAACGCGAAAGTAAGTTTTAAACATAATTTGTATCAGAAATCTTTCTTTCTCAAGTAAGCTCAATTTGATGTAATTTTACATTAACTTTGAACGGGTTTTAAATATATTACACCAATATGTGTATGTCATGTTAACCAAGAAAATCTGTTATTAGCCATATAGTCTCTGTATCTTCATCTCTTTAATAGTCCACTGCTGGACATAGGCCATCGCTGTTGGTTTTCATCATCATCATCATCAACAGCCTATACTAGTCCACTGCTGGACATAGGCCTCTCCTTAGAAAGGAGGTTTTGACCTACTATACCACGCTGGCCAGACCGGTTGGTATAGGGTTTGTTTCAAGTTTTCCTTCTCTTTGCAGTGCTGTTATCCTGCTTTGTTTGCTCTCTTAGTCGGCTCTTACGACACCCACGGGATGAATTGGGGTGGTGACAATTTGTATTCTTAATCCGTCACCACACGGTTGGTTTTCAATGTACAATAATAATACTCACATCAGTATGTGTATACTCATATCCATCAGGGTTGGCTATTGGCAAGATAATCCAGTCAATATTATTGAGTAGGTCCTGGTCTTCGGCAGTAACGTTTTCTACCAGTCTGTGAATCGAGTATAAGGCGACTGGAGTAGTAGCCCACTCGCGAGCATGTAACATTGCTTCCATAAAATAGATGGGCTTGGTATTGTCGGCGAAATTTGTTGTTGAGATCTGTTTATAAAAACAATAAAAATATATTTAGCTACTAAAAAATATCAAATAAACCAGAAATAATAATAACATAATAATAATAATCTCGCATTTCTCACACACGGCAGTCTAATTCCAAACTAGGCAAAACCTGTGCTATGGTAACCAGACTGCTGATAAACATAATTATATATTTAATATTTAATAATTATATATTTAATTAATACATAAGTGTTATAGATAAATTACACCCAGACCAGTACAATTGACCATGCTCATCACACAATATTTATCATGGGTTAGCAGGGGCTTAGCAGTTACGATCACAAACCACTATATCAACAAGCCTGCCAGAAGAATCAGAAAGAGTTTTTTAAGCCCAATAATATTTTTTGACGCTTTTGAAAATAGGATATCCATGCACATGGACCAGGAAGTATGTAGTACCAAAGTTATGTAATAAATATCAAATACTAAGGGAGGACAAGAAAATAAAATGTAAGTTTAAACTAAAACTGAGACTAAAAGAAATGTTTGGATATGGCAATAGATTAAAACGCGTACATAAATCGGGAAGCAGGTACTTAGGAAATAGTCAGGTTACACATATTTATGTATTGCTTGTCTTGAAATTATTTTGTTTGTTGAGTTAGTACATCGTTGTAGGAGGAATTTATAAACTAGCATTTAAGTACTTAGGTTATTATAAATTGAGCGGAACGCCTACAAACTGTTAGAACAGTTTGGCGAATCGAGAACTTGTAAACAAATGTAAATAAAGTGTGATTAAAGTTTAAAAAAAAAAAACATATGTGTGGGCTGACTGGAATCGGTTATAGAAAAACCCCGTCTTAATTTTGGAGGCCATTTAAAGAGCGGCAAAGCACCTGTGTCGTTTAAAGTGGCCATGGGCGGCGGTGGTCACTTTATACCATAGAAAAAACAAAAGTAACAATTATGTACTGACCTTTAAGTATTTCATGGGGCGACCTTCAAAACTGTTACCAGCATTAACTATGGTTGCTATAGCGGGATACTGGTTAGCAATGTATTCCAAATATTCATCTACCTGTACGAACAAATAAACGTCTCTTTATTAAGTTTAAACAGAATGTTTAGAAATGGTGTTCAGAATTTTTAATTCATGTTTTATACTATTTCGACTAAATTCACGTTTTTTGTTTTCATCATCAACAGCCTTTAGTAGTACATTGCTGGAAGTAGGCCTCTCATAAGAAATGAGGTTTTAACGTACTATACCACGCAGGCCAGACAGGTGGGTATAGGGTTTGTGTCAAGTTTTTCTTTTCTTTGCAGCGTAGTTTGCTTCCTTAGTCGGCTCTTGCGACGCCCACGGCTTTTTTGTTTTAATAATAGTAAACATATTACTCACCAATGTCATAAATAGTACACTAGTTTAATAAAGTATATTCATACAAGATTAACCAAAATCTTGTCGTACATAATAAATTTTTGTAATGTTTTGAAATGATATAAAGTACAGTGTAATAAAAATGTTTCTAAAAATGTAAATATGTGTTTGATTTGATATGAGAAATTTGATCAATATCTGAATGCATGAAGCAGATTTGAACATTTAACTTCTTACGAGAGAGCTGTATTTAAATGGATATCAAAACTTAAAATTACTCAAAGGTTCCTGTTTACATGTAAATACGAAGTATTGTCTTGTGTTATAATTAACATGCTCATCCAATGTTGAGGGAAGAAACGATGAACCAAAATAAAACTTTAACATAAATTGTATTATTCGATATTTAAATATACCTCTGCATGACGTGGGTACTTTTCAAAGATCTTTTTCTCGTCATCTCGTGCATTCCGTTGCAGATGTTGATTATCAACCTCTTCGAGGTACCTGTAACGTTAAATATATGTAAGCTAACACTATCTTATTTCTTTTTATTGTACAGAAATCAAGCAGACGGATCCCCTGATGGTAAGTGATTACCGCCGCTCACGGAGACCTGTAACTTAATAGTCACAGTTGTCTTTGAGGTGCCCCTGCCTGCCGAATTAAGGGGAAAGAGTTGGCCTATTTTATAGAGAGGCTATTGTATACAAGGGGGTGGTTCGGCCAATGTCTTAATAACAGGTGTTTTAGGCGCAGTATGGCATATTATGTGGTTTCAATTGGTTCGATTCCGACACACCGCTCTACCAAACACCCCAGTGGAGTAAATTCCAAGGATATCTCGACAAAAAAGGACACCTTTAAAGTCGGTAGGGTTCGAACCTGAAACCAGCACATTTGTATATAATACTAAAGAATTACTTACTTGGCAACGTCATCTATCTGAACATTGTGTTCCAAGTTCCTTCCATCTATAGCTTCTAAGAATTTTTGTCTATTTTCAGGTGTGACCATGACACTTGCATTCTGTCGTAACGGTTCTCCATAATTCCAAACGTCCAGATCTAATTCCAAGAGTAGATTAAACAGAAAGTCCTGGTCTGATTTGTCCCGCACCTTAATGTTGTGTACTGAATTCCTATCGGAAAATATATCTATTAGTGTTATGCATTGCAGCTCACCGTTTTTGTGTATGAATTTCCGTGTGGTGACGGATTAAGAATATGGAGTGTCACCACCCAAATTCATCCCGTGGGTATCGTTAGAGGCGACTAAGGGAGAAAACTAAGCGAAACAACAACACAAAGAGAAGGAACATTTGGCACAAACCCTATAAAAACCCGTCTGGCGTCTGGTATAGTAGGCCAAAACCTTCAGCAGTGGACTATTAAAGGCTGTTGATGTGATGATTGCAGATCACAGCCATCTCATCTCTTTTTTTTTAAATATTCGAGTGTGTATTCGAGTATTTTTTTAAATGTGAGACAATAATAGTACGAAATTACTCTACCTTAATTTAAACTAAGAGGGTTTTATAGTAGGGATGTTCTTACTTAGCTATCAACTACACAGCCTGCTATAGTGTCGTAAAAGTTTTAATTACCTAATCATTATTTTTGTACATAATGTTTCTTTTCGATGTAAGTGAATAAATATTTACATGACTTTGATTTCAACAATATATTTAAAGTCACACCCGCACAATTAATTCATTAACGGTAATAATTATATTGTATTTCATATATTTCAGGGTTGTATAGAATTATAATTTTTAACGTTACCACACCATGATATTACACCGCCATAATACTATCACAATAAAATAACAATTGTTGATTATTTATTTGTGCATACAACATCATCTATGAAAAATGCTTTGAGAACCTTTACAATTCACATTTACACAGTAACATTTTTTCAATGGATTTACTGAAAAAAATTAAAACAGTAAGGTCTACCTGGAGTATGAATCATGTCTTCCAGCCGACACGATGCCTGCAGCAATAAACAAAATAAATACCGCGATTCTCATCGCTAAACACAAATCATGTAGTCTTTCAACTGGAATAAATGTCTGTGTAGTTCAAATTCCCCGTAACATAGCTTATCAGATGTAATATATGATTCTTTATCTGTATTATCGATAGAGTAGATTTCTTTTTAACATATAGATATCATATATAGATTAGGGTATCGTTTATTGCAGTACTATAAAATGACTATTTGTCTTAAAGTATTTCGTATCAACTACGACCAGAGCCAGGTGGTCATAACGACGATGCGAAAGTTTGAAATCCCCGTTAATTGTCACTATTATATTTTGGTAATGTTGAAAATATGTATAATTTGTATGAACAGGTGTAGGTATATTTGTGTATTAATGCTTTTGTTGATATTTTTAAATAAGATAATGCGTTACGTGTATGAACTACCCAAATTTTTAAATATCTAATATCCGTATTCAGGTTGTCTGTAAGAGATCGCCGTGAGCGATAAGACCACCACTTGTTACGTCTATATATTTGTAAGTAACTTATGTGTTAACTGTATACAATAAAGATTTAAATAAATAAAATACTAATTTTTTATTGCCGGACTTTTTTATGTATTAATAATTTATATAGTTTTAATTTGGGCTGTTCTTTAGACAGCGTGGATAGTAGAACAATAGAATAAAGAGTGAGAAGGAATCGAACGTGACGAAATCGTCATCCTCGAAACCGTATTCTCTACATTTTATTATTTCTCTCACCTCACATAATACCCTCACTTAATATTGCTTCTCATATGGAAGATTTTAAAATCTGCTATTAATTTACTTGGCTCGAAGGACCATCTGCAAAGTGCTCTATTCGCCTAGTACTTTGTGGGCACGAGCATTCTTTCTTTTATTAAATTGCAAATTTAAATGTGTTTTGAACGCGTACGGATCATTATTTTTATACGTCGCGTCGTCTGTCATAAACCAATTTAAGTTGTTGTTATCACATGATAGCGCAAATACTAGCAATAATACTAAATTAAACTGATAAAATCGAATATTTATTGTCAAATTAACACTATACCTTGTCGATTACCATAACAGATATAATATAGGTTAATAAGCAATTATTTTAAAGAAGTTTGCTTTGTTTTAAGAGCTGATAATGTATTCAGACTATAGTTTAATTAATACAAAAGAACAGAGCACATTTTGAAAGAAATTTTACTGGCCTAATTGAGAGATATATATAAAAAAAAAACAATGATCCCAAACTAGGCAGAGCCTGTACTACGGTAACCAGACTGCTGATAAACATACTTATAAATTTCTAAATACATACATATTATAGATAAATTACACCCAGACACAGAACAAAAGACCGTGCTCATCAAACAATTATTTGTCCTGGGTGGGAATCTAACCCACGATCTCTGGAGTAGCAGTCAGGGCACTAACCACTAGACCAACAGGCCAGATAGTGACGTCGTGATCGTGACGAACGTGATGCCCATCAATTTCTGGAATAGTGTACTACCACTATATTACAGTTTTACTAAACATCATCTGGGAGGCCACACGCGATTATTTTGTTTTACTAATTTTTTCTCCCTAATAAATTATACCCTTACACGCAATGGACAGTGAGCGTGCGATTCCTGAGTACTCTCTAATCCTCGGCATTTGAACGCTGTATCCGCCTTTCTTCATTGTCATTTTATATGTATCTGATGTAACTTTTACCATGAAGAAGGAATCGGGTACATAAAAGGCACCGAAGTATGTGCAGCTTTTGCATTGTCGAAAAAGGAAAATGTCATTGCCAATAAAATCAATACCCACTAATCTTCGTTCTATCGAAACATACTCGTACATACTATCAAAATTAAACTCTCCTCGAATTTCAATATCATCATCATCAGCCTAACTACTCTACTGCCCGCCAGTCCACTGCTGAACATAGGCCTCTCCCATTGCACGCCACTTAGATCGATTTTGGGCTTCTCGTATCCAACTCCTGCCAGCCATCTTGCGCAAATCTTGCAATTTCAATAAAATGAATTTAATCTAAGAAGCTGTTTTTTTATATCCGAATATATAATATATATATATATATTTTTTTCTTCGTATTCTAGCTGCTGTATTTTTTTTTATTAGTGTATATTTATAAATATATTTCATTTACGATATTTTTTTTAATACTTGCATTTAATTTTCATCAAATTTTTTATCTAAACTGATTTAGATAAAAAGTCGCACAAAATAATTTACAGCAATGATTGTTAAGAGTCTGCCGCGTTTTTGTTTTCTTTGTTTTTTTTTTTAATTACAGCAAGTCGATGACTATTTCGTTTAAACCGCTCTACTTTTTAGTACAGCTGATGTGAAGTTAGATTAACCGTGGGTGCCTAAAACTGTTTTGCAAATTGCTGATAAACATTCATCTGTAAATCTTTACACGTTTTGTTTTCGTAGATTAATATCGACAGTTTTAACAGTGAAGTAGGCGTTTAAAAAGTACTGGGAATATTTGGAGATTTTTAAAAGGGAATGGTTCTCTCAGCAACAGCCTTCAATAGGCCACTTTTCCTTCTCTTTGCAGTGTTGTTGTCCTGCGTAGTTTGCTTCTTTAGTAGGCTCTTACGACACCCATGGGACAAATAGGGGTAGTGACATTCTGTATTCTTTATCCGCGACCACAAAAAGAAATGGAATGGTTCTTCCTCTATTATTAAGAAGAAGTAAAGGTAGTGAAAGGGATATCGCAAACACTGATAGATTGGGGACTGTAGGCAACATCCCAAGTAGGTTAGGGTCAAGACTTAAAACATAAAAGTTTTTAAAACAATTATTATTTAAAGATTTTGTCGTATAATAATTTAGAGAGGGGCTCGTAGCTAGGTGTTAACCGAGGAGGTTAGCACATTGCAAAGTTAAGCAATCCTAGTCAGGTCAGTCTATGAATGGGTGACCATTCTTAATACACTGAGAACTCTCATACATACATACAGACATCTCAGACATACGAATATCTCTGGCAATCTGACTGAAAGCCGATCCCCAAGATACTGTGGGCAAAGTTCGGAGGATGATTTCGTATAATTATTTGAGATTTTAGAGCTTCTGTTAAAGCTTTTTAGCAGAAGCCTGTTCGAATTATAGCTGTACTATTCTGAGTTACTCGTGCTATCACACAAACCACTTAATCCATCCACATGTCTAAATTAGATTACTACCACTTCAACAACCTTTTTTTTTGTTGTTGACGGGGTGTAAAATCCCTTCGGATCTCCGGCTCCTTGAGGATGTATTAGCCAGAAGTATGTGGTGATTCCACTAAAAACCACCCCGACGGCCGGGCTCGCCATTGCACCAGTGCCTGTCGGTGAGTGTTCCGCCGCATTTCGAGCTTCAACAACCTACATAATAAAAAAAAATTAGCTGTATTAGTACCGAAATTGATTGAGGTATCGAATTATATTAAGTAGGTTCTGATATGTCCAGTATATCAGTAGTGTCTTTGACAGCAATCAAATATTAAAAATAAAACTGACTGAAAGTTTGACTGGCCTGTTGGTAAAGTGGTTAGTGACCCTGACTGCTACTCCAGAGGTCGTAGGTTCGATTCCCACCCAGGACAAATAATTATGTGATGAGCACGTTCATTTGTTCTGTGTCTGGATGATATCTATAATACTCGTATGTATGTATTTAGAAATATATAAGTATGTTTATAAGCAGTCTGGTTACCATAGTACAGCCCTAGTTTGGGATCAAGCGGCCGTGTGTGAGATGTGTAATGATTATTATATTATTATTATTTATAAAATCTTTTTTAGCACTTTTATAAAAAACTCGATATGGAACAGGTAAAATCTCAACTTCTTATGATACTAGAAGTTGTTACAAACTTCAGTAGTTAAAACAATCCTAGATCCCGAGCCTGATATTGCTCGGTCCGTAGCCGCGTAGGTAGGTGAATGTGAGCGCGATAGAAAATATGTTACTGGACACACTGCAATGTAGTTTGAGTATTTTATTGTATTAAAATTTTTCACTATATTTTCTTTAATGGTATAAGGTAAGCTACTACCGCCGCCCATGGATACCTGCAACTCAAAAGTCACAAGTGCGTTGCTGCCCTTGGAGCGTGAGGGCTCCGGTAACCTCACTCACTCAGTGAAAGGCAACGAAAGAATTGCTTAACACCGGTTTTCGGTGAGACCTTGGTATCACTCCGGTCGAGCTGGCCCATTCGTGCCGAAGCATGGCTCTCCCACGGTGATATCCTCGCCCACGGTGAGATATTTAAATATATGAATATTTTTGCAAATGTCAAATAATATTTAAAATTACAGAGTTCGAATTTAATGACAAAATTATTTAATCCAGTTATTCTCCCAGCCCGTATGTCGAACATACAGTTTGCAGCATAAACCATCGCTCCGTTATTGAACGCCGGTGAACTTTTATTCCATCGTTGGCTTCGTTTTAGATTCCCAGTATTTTTAACGTTATTAACTTTCCAACATCTCGTACGGATTGTAATTGAAGTATCCCGTATCGTTTCAACACTGTGTTTAGACTATTTAATGAAGAGTTTTTTTTTCCTATAAAACTTTTACTGTCCCAGGTCAATAAAGGTTCTGAACTCGAAGACAAAGCGATTATGTCGGAACCGAATCGACTTTATGCGATATTACCTAGAACTAGAAATGCATTGTTTCTTCCAGTAACCCCTTAACAACAAGATTCAATTCTATTTCCAACGTCCCGTTTATTTGAAGAAGATACTCCTCCTTCACAAAGATGAGCTACCATTATTGACTATCCAATGAATTTAAAGTTTTTTTAGAATTTGTGAGAAAAACTCACAGCCAGAAAGAGCCATATTGTCTCTGTAACTGATGAAAGTGATAATATTATTTCAACGTTAGAAAACAGCTTGGCATATATTTTTCTATTTAAATATGTGTACTTATGTAGATGTTTTGCAGTTATGGAACTATTTTAATTAATTTAATTTTCTTTATAAATATTTTATGCTATTT